TTCGGTTTTAAATTTTTACCATACTTATGAATATTTTTTTTTAATACTTGGTGACCACAAAGAACATGACTTTCTGAGTGTCACTATGCAATAAACTGAAAATCCCATATGTGACACTTATGTAATTATACGTAGGGAGTGACGATATGTGCTCTCTACTATTTGTAATATAATCAATTATAAATTTCAAGTTTCACATACCAGGCACAAATTTTTCCTCTTGATCCTCAAGTCGTACAAGACGACCTTTTAGCTTGCAGCACTGAGTTTTCTCAAATGTAGAGCGTGTTAATAGCAGATGATCAAAGGAAACGATCACATCAGCAGATCAGTCGTCTCCGTAAGAAAAGCGAACGCTTATCAGTCATACATGGCACACAGCAAATATAAACAATGCGCAACACTAAAATCACAGTGCATAATCTCTCTCGATCCGTACGCATCCTCTTCAGAAACATCAAAGTATTCCTTTTCTTTTTTTTTTTTTTTCCCCCACAAAACTGATCGTATCAGGAAGGAAGATCTTAATGTGCCATTCAATTCCCTCGAGGCTGGTTGAGCATTCTTTAGGAAAGCCGATCTTTGCGCCAATCGATAATAATATAGATCATCTCTTCATCTCATCGGGCACATATAAAATTTGATTTGCACGTGTTGTGTGACTTACGATTATTAAAAATAACGATTTACTCTCCGTTAAAAAAATTATTTGTATATATCCTTATATATGTACAATGGGAATCGCTTTAAAAATTATTTCTATCACTGTGTGTAAAATATGTGAACTGCGATACAACACTGTCGCTTTAAAAACATCGGTTCCCTGAACAATCTTCGATCTTCTTTTAACAACAATGTGATATGAACACTATGATAAATAACGACGCGTCAAAGCGCAACGTACACACAGATGGCGATCTTTATCATTCTTCTTTGTATTTCTTCCTCGGATATCCGGTCATTGAGTGTATCTGTGCGCTTTTTTCACTATTTCTACGTTTCATATCCAAGAGACGAGCCCACGAGTGCGATTTCTGCAACATAAAAAAATCATATTTTCAGGTCAGCAAATTTTACAATTTAATATTGTTTAATCATTAATAATCAATAATAAAATTTCTATTGCTTTTTAACTTGATCAAAATCTGAAGTGAGTTAAATTAGAATAAATGTTCTCGATATTAAAAGATGACAAAGCAAATTAATTAAATAAACTTCACTTGCGCTCTTTTCAGTTCAAATTTCACACTTTGCCACTTGAACTCAAAGACAGATTATTGATTATTAAGATAAATTCTCTGTCTTAAAGTATTATCTTCCTTGATAGATACGCTTTTACAATTTCGTAACAAAATCTATAACTTGATTATAAAAGTGTTTATTTATTCCCTCTCTCGTAACTTAAATCAGCGGCTACTTTCACTTGCCGGAGATATGTTCCTCGAACGATCGCTATCGTCGCGTCAGGAGCGTGCACCGCAAGTACGCGTGCCTCGAGGAAGGTACGCGCGTACCGAGAGAAGTTTATATGTCAAACGGACGCGCGAACGGGCCCAATATATAGATCGCCAATATATGCGTATAACGTTTCGAATAAAGACGCTCTCACCCTATTGACGTCGCGTCGAGAGCATATACGGATGACGATACGGGACGACGAACGGCGTTTCACCTCGCCGACAAACTCTCCTCGTCGATGAAAGCCTTCGCGGACACTCGCGGACGGGGTAATCAACCACGATAACGACAACGCGCGACGCTCGGCGACGAAGAAATCCGTCCTCGTTTCCCTCGTATCCTAAGTATTCTCTTCTTCTCGTGATTATCTCTCTTTTGCTCACGTCGGCTGCGCGGCCGACGGTTATCCGCAGATGGGTTGTCCGCGTCAACAACAACGCGAGCGACGGGAAGAGACACAACAATAATAATATCGTCGGCCGTGTCGCGACATGAACGAACACGGTTAGGCCAGTGTGATGTCGCTACGCTCGATTCGATTCGAGACCAGATCGAGATCGAGATCGAGATATCGAGATATCGAGCGATCGACCGCTACACTACTCTCGAAATGCGATAGGACCTATTTTTGCGTTCACAATAAAGAGTTGACGACGGGCAAGATCTTCGAGAACAAGTTACCAGAACTCGTACCAATCGCGTCAATCAAGAGTAAACATTTCTCTAAACATCTGCAAGACTTGTTTGACAGTTAAACCGGAGCCGCTCTCAGTCTTCTCTCTGATATCGCTGTGTATTTTTTGTCACGTGCGGACGACTGTGGACCAGTTCACGCTCACGCGGCTATAATCTCACGGCGTTTGTTTCCTTATAAAGCGATAATCAGAACGTTGAGCGCAGGAACGCGGTATCATGAGCAAGAAAATCACTCAGGAAGAATTTGACGAGGAGGTCAGGAGTTTGTTAGAGGATTTGTGTTTGGATGAACAAGAGGCGATCGAGGACGTCGTCAGAGAATATGAAATGAAGGTGAGGCTACCCACACACATGTCCTTTATTTTGTATTAATTATTTAGGCGTTGAAATTTCCTTTCGTTCACTCTCACGGTCACTCACGGTGACTCATTCGCTAGCTAGCGCACACCTCTTTCTCATTGTCAACAGCAGAACAGAGAAAATCAAGAGATCGATTTTGACACACCCACGCAAAATCTTAGAAATGTTGGGCAAATCTGTGCGGAAATTTGTTTCAAATTCCATTTTGTTTCGAATTTTTTTTAAATCATATTCACACACAGACGCGTATACAAAATCTTCAAAACAGCAGATTGTTTTATATATTATATACAGGGTGTCCCAGAATTGCCGTACAATCTCTCGTAGGCAGGTAGAAGGAATAAAACTGAGTCGAAAAATCCTGAACCATTTTTTTCTATTATTTATAATAAAGGAGTAATTATTGAGTAAATCAAGCCAATCAGCGCAAACCTTTAGCCAGGCACACGTCAGTGAGCGCTCACACACACCAGGCGCGCGGCTCACTGACGTCTGGCTAAAGGTCTGCGCTGATTGGCCTGATTTACTCAATAATTACTCCTTTATTATAAATAATAGAAAAAAATGATTCAGGACTTTTCGACTCAATTTTACTCCTTTTACCTGCCTACGAGCGATTGTACGGCAATTCTGGGACACCCTGTATATTTTATATTTTATATTTTATATATATTTTATGTGTTCCCGGTAAACAATTTTTCATATATACTTATACACAAATTAAAATAATTATATCTAATTATGCAAATTTATATGCCGAATATGTCCATAAAATTTTATACACGGAGAATTTCTTTTTTTTTAAAGAATGGCTTCGGAGATATTTCATATCAAATTACAAAATAACTCTATTAGTATCATGTTAGATAAAAAAAAAAGTATATAAAACTATATTTTTACTATATTTTAAAAAAAATTTTTGATATATAATCATATATATTAGGTCTACCGGAAAGTCCGTTTTTGGAATAAAACAAAATACAAATTTTTCTTAATTTTTCAAAATTGAGATATACAAATTGCCCTCACGCTGGCAAGAAATCATTAATAACAATGGCAATTATATTATTTACTAACGTTTATTGACGGTAAGAAAAATTTGTATTTTGTTTCATTCCAAAAACGGACAGAACTTTCCGGTAGACCTAATACTTATACACAAATTAAACTTATTATATCTAATTATGCAAATTTATATATACATATATATATATACCGAATATGTCCATACATGGAAATGTTATACATGGAAAATTTTTTACCGGGTTTTAATGTTTCATTGTGCATTTTATATTGCGCACGTAAGAATTTCACTTTCGATGAGAATAAAAACAGAAGTTTGTGATTTAAACATTCTAGCAAAAATAACAATAATAATAAAACAGGTCAATCAAACGAGCGATGTAAGGCTGTTTTATTAAATTAAATTAAGTAAAATCGCGATTTTGATACAAAATGATATCACGGTAAAAAATTGTACGTTTCGACTCCTACTTGACGTCCTCTTCGGAAATAAAGTTCTTGCGTTAATTATTGGTAGATTGACGTAATTACCGTTGGAGTTGGTGTGAATAAGTCATGGTGAAAGTCGATATCGAACGCTCCAGCGTTTTTACTTAATCGCGGTTTAAACTTAATTTAATTTAATAAAACACCTTACATTGCTCGTTTAACTGACCTGTTTTATTATTATTGTTATTTTTGTTATTTTTTATATTGCGAGCGTAGTTATCATTAATTATTAAACATTTTATTTTTTTATATTTAAGCGAGTCGACAAGAATTTTTGCCATTGTTATTGCAAAGTAAGAATGCTCTATATAAAATCACGAAACAATAGGTATATAGTTTTGTTTTCTTGAAAATTAAGATTCTCCATGGTTTTTTTGAAATTTATAGTTTTTTTTTTTTTGAGGTGAGAACTGAGTGTTTTTTTTTTTTTTTAATGATTACTAATAAAATGTTGACTTTGCTGAGATTTGTGTTGCTAAAACAAAATTGCATAAATTAATTGCGGAAGATCTACTTCGGCAGTACGAAAATAAAACCTTGTTACGCTTCTTCCGCATTTCTTGTCGCTTTTATAATAATTTCGGAGCACTCGTTTCGGCGCTATATCGAACGATCGAATCTTCGAACGTATCGGTTTTTGTTGTCTCGAGGATTGTTCTTTTTGTTTCGTAATTAAACGACATTTATCTCGTTCGTACAGGAAGTAGATTTGAGCAACATCAATACGCGATTATTCGTTGAAACCAGATACAAACACTTACTTACGTGTTTGGAACAATTAGACAAAGCTATAAATGAAAATAACAACAAATGTCTTCCCAAACTTTTGCAAGATCTTCGAATACAACTGGATAACGATATTAAATATAAAGTTTATGCGGGCAAAAATAAATGTTATCATATCCTTTTGAAAATTCTAATAATTTGGGAGGATGAATTTAATTCCGAAGTGTTCAATCTCGCTTTAGAAGCCATTACTTCGTTAATGACCGGTTATCCGGATTTGTTAGACGACGAGGGAATTGCGTTCCAAATAAGGTAAAATTATTTCCTTACAAAATTATTCCTATTAGTTTTCTAGGACAAAAAACAAGCGCTTTAAATCGAATGGTTTTTTATATATCGCGTTTGAAACATTATAATTTGTTAAGTTCTTTACATAGTTCTTTACATAGTTATGTTTTATTTAAAAAAGGTATAAAAGTACGTAGTGTGACTATTTTTATGTAAAAATTTGTCCTTCAATTTTGTAATAAATTTGTACGCGAAAAAAATCGATATAAGACACTCAAGCGTGAAAAATGCATTTACCATTATAAGACGATAAAAATTTCAACTTCTATTTCTCACAAGTGTTAATATTCTTTTATTTAGAGTATTTTAAACAATTTTCAGATTCTTAGACACGATGTTATATATCGAAAAAAACAAGCCTTCCCGTACGATAGTGCAGTGTTTGCATTGGATACGGGAATGTTGCATAAAGCACGAGCAAAACAGGCAAAAGATTTTCCACGCTAACGTGTTCGACAGATTAAAACAGATAATAACGTGTAACGACGCAAGCAGTCTTGAAATTAAGGAAGCGTGTTCGGTGATCAGAGCGTTGATCCTGGACGATGATATCAGACACGCATACGGAAAATCTCACGAGCACGCGGTTTTCATGGCCCAGACTTGTCTCGATATCCTCGTAAACTTGTTAAAAAGTAACTATTATATAAACCGAAAAAATTATATTCTTGTAAGTAGAAGATTTTATACTTAAAAAATCTTCTTCAAGATTTTAGATGATATTCTTCTGAAATTAAGAATATATTCTTTATTTAAGAATATTGTCTTTTTCGATAGTGAGATATATATGTTTTTCTATAGAGGCTTTTTATATTCTAATCAGTATAAATTCTTATCAATATTACTATTTAGAGGATTTTCCCCTTAAAATAAGAAACTCTTCTTGGCGCCTATTTTAGTATAAAATATACTTAAAGTAAGTGGGATATATCCTCAAAACAAGAATACAATTTTTTCGGTGTACGTG